AAGTATATTAGAGGGGCAACATAATAAAGTGGAAGCACTGCCCCTGGAGTTAGAAGGATCTGATTTTAAATCCCATTTCTAACACTTACTAGTTGTATGATAACAGGCACATGGCTTAAAATCTGTTAACTTCTACATCAATCTCTTCAGTCAGTCAACAAATATTTATAGGGGCAGTTAGGTGGTGAAGTGAATAGAACACCAGCCCTGAAGTCAGGAGGACCTGAGTTCAAATCCAGCCTCAGACTAAACACTTGACACTTACTAGCTGTGTGACCCATGGCAAGTCACAACCCCAATTGCCAAAAACAACAAAAAAAAACCCCAAATATTTATAAAGCACCATGTGCCAAGCACTGTGCTAAGTGATATCGTTTCCCTTTAGTTTTATAGTTCTCTTTTTGGTTAACTTTCCTTTGAAGAATTTCAAGCCACAGGTTCCTATCTATTTTCCCTCTGAAATCTTTGAAGTTCGGTTTCCTCAAATCTGGACCCCACCCCCTAACATCAAACCGTATTCAGCTTTTCTGTTTTCCTCTATCACACACCAAGATAGTCACTTCATCCCAAGGTTTCTATCATTTCTACTCTGGCAAATAGACCCTCCTTGTTGTTCAGAATTGGGCACTTTATCTTTTTCTCTATCTTTCAGAGAATGCAATTATCATTAAGCTAAGTCAAGAAATTATTAGCTTTCTTAGTTTTTGGCAGTTTTAGCAAACATCAGGATAATCACAATCTGCAACACCACTGTATCATGACTCTGTGAGAAGTATGAGGTTATTTCCCACTCATCATCCATTTCCTTCTCTGGCTAGATTCTCTGTAGTATACTTATCACAATATTGCTTCTCTTTTTCCCTTCTCTGATCCTCATCCAAATGTTCTTTATCATGTTTCTTCTTTTTGCTTCCTGAATTTACTCATGCATATTTTTTTATACATATTCCTTGAATACAAAGAGGCAGCATGGTATAGTGGATAGAGAGCCAGTCAGGAAGCTCTGGGTTCAAACAGTCGCTCTCAAATGTCACTTAACCTGAGGCAACTAGGTGGCATGGTGGATAGAACACTGGGTATAGAGTCAGAAAGACCTGAATTTGAATCCAAATCTAGCCTCAGATACTTAACTCATTTAATCGGTCTGCCTCAATTTCCTCCACTGTAAAATGGAGATCATAACAGCACCCATGCCATAGGATTGTGAGGAAAAAATAAGGTCTGAAAAGTGCTTAACACAGTGCCTGGCGCCTAGTAGGTGCTGAATAAATGCTTGTTCCCTTCCTTCTCAGTGCTCTAGGCAACCCTTTAAGACTGTAAATTACACAGAGGTTTCCAATTTGCATTGGCAGAAGCAGTTTCCTCACCTGGTAGTTCCCTATAACATTTGAAGAAAGTAAACCCTTGATTCTAGTCACGGGTCACATCCTACTAAATTTCAGTGATACCCATGAAGTCAAATTCACCTCCTTGTACAAAGCTCTCTAGTTTGCCTTGTTTACTGCCCATATTGTCATTTATTTGAGGAATTCGAGGCCATGTGCTCCATCGCTGTTTTAACTCTTGAATATTACTTGCCCTTTTCACTGACACTCTTCTTTAGATATTGTGCCTGATATTATTTATCTGTGTTATCTGGCTCGCAGGTAGTTTTCACTGTTTTAAAGATGGGTGTAACAATGAAAAACAATTCTCTCAAAGTACTCTATAATGGTACCTAAAAATGGAAATTTCATGTGACATGTATACAAAATACTTCATATACACAAAAGAACAATTTTGTGAAAAGATTTAAAATGGTCAAGATTACAAAATTGTTTTATATAAATTAAAACAGAAAGGGTTATTCCTTTTCCTTGGGGATTCTTGTGTACTGTTCTGTTTAAATGATGAGGGAGAGAAATACATTCTTGGCGGGGCTCAGACTTCCATCCAGGGCAGATTCTACTTACAGACCAAGGAAAGGACCTGTAATAGAATAATATAGCATTTAGTTGAACCACATTGTAAAAAAACAAAACAAAAACCCAGATTAAGTTAAAGTCACACTAAGTCAAGAGGTTTTACTTGTTTAAAAAAGGGGAAACTGTCAGATCTCTCTGAATTCTACTCCAGGTCTACACGGCATAGCTTTATATTTTTATAGGTTTAAAGGGAAATGGATTAAACAGTGGAAAAATTTCAAGAATGTTACAACATATTGTGCTTTCTATGTTTACATTCTCAAACTTCAATATCTTTTACATTTTAAAACATTTTGCCTCACAATTGTCCTTGTAATTTCCTAAGAAATGTGCTTGTCACATCATTTCTAATTGCCAAGGTTGCTGCAATATGGAATCAGTCTTGTTTTTCCCCTTTAGTACCAAATCCTATGCAATAAAATCATTCTTAATCCCTCATAAAAAATGGCAATCTTCCCCTACAGAATCCCACTTCCATTGAGGAGAAAGGAATGAATTCCAGGGTGCAGCAGAAGGAAGGGAAAATTTATACACTGAAGATAATATACTAGAAGCTGCTTTGGGGGCAGCTAGGTGGCGCAATGGATAGAGCACCAGCTCTGGAGTCAGGAGGACCTGAGTTCAAATTTGACCTCAGACAAATAAAAACTCACTAGCTGTGTGACTCTGGGCAAGTCACTTAACCCCAATTGCCTCACTAAAAAAAAAAAAAAAAAAGAAGCAGCAGCTGCTTTGACTTCATGCAATCTGCTCTGGGCAGGCCCTTCATTCTCTGCTGTAACCCAGTGAGGTTCTCTCCCAGGTAGCCAGTATCAGATACTGCTTGGGCTGTTAGCTGCTTCTGCTCTGTCACAACTGGTTCCATCTCCAAAACCACTCAAGCCATCACTGCAACCCTAGGCTTCTTGGCTATAGTCAGAAGAAATTTCAATGATTTACACTTTGGGCAAATATTTGTACCTTTAGACCTTCCCGACCAGACTTTATAGGGATCAAATTTTCTGGGTCTCCTTCTCTCACAGGTAGACCATCCAGACCAGGGGTGGCCACATGTGGCCTCAAGGCTGAAGGTTCCCACCCCTGATCTAGACTCTAAGGGGTATTGATACTATCCTTTGGCTTTTTCCTTTACAGCCCCAGAGTGGCCAAAAGGGGCCTCTCAGGCACTTGCTATTTGACACTTACTTATCCCCATCCAGCCCTGACACTCAACTGGGGTTAAAAGTTTGGGGTTTGTTTTTTTTTTTTTCAACACCACTTCCCCACCTGACAAGTAGGGGTAGACAGCTTGTGTTCTCACTCTATCTACACCTTACTAAGGTACTAAGGATAAACACATGAGCCTCTCTCTTTCATTCATTAGTCTTTCTAATGCTATAACTCCCTATCTTTCATATTGTCTTGAATAAGTCTTAAAATATTGACTGGGGAAGAGACATAAAATAGCAAGTCTTCTGATGGTGTTTTTGCTGCCATAGCAAATTCTGTGTGTCCTTTATATAATTGCTAAATAAGTATTTATGGAGGGTCTTTTATGTACAAGGCACCTTGGTAGGTGTTGAAAGGTAAGGAAATGAGTGGATCTGGAGGAAGGGAAAGAGGAGTTAAGATAATTAAGATGGATAAACAGGCAGAATACAAAGAAATATGAATAGACCTTTATGAAGTAATGCAAAGCAGAAAAAAGCAAAAACAGAATAGTAGTACACATTAACTACAACTACCTAAGAGGAAAACAATGAGAAAGGACAAAGAATCCTGATGAGGACTTAAAGAGAATGAAATTGTCATGATACTTTATGCATAGAAATTAACTTAAATGTAGTTATTAAACAAGTTTAGTTAGCTGAACTCATGTTTATTAAGTTTTTAATAAAAACATTAATTTAATAAAAACAATAAACATTTAGTAAAATTTAATTAATAACACTTATGTAATAATTAATATTAAATTAATTAACAATTAATATACATTTAATAAAAACAATCTTTTTGAAAAGGATTATTCCCTCCCCACTCCTATCCGTTTGAGCTCTCCTATGCCCTATAATCGTTTACTGGGCTGTGGCTGAAACCCCAGGCTCTATGATTATGCTGCTGTCAGCTGAACACAGGACTTAGCAGCACCTATCAATTTGAAATGACTTTGAGTAGAGGCCAAGCAATGGACTGAGTCTGTTAGAGGCCTTGTTTAGCTAAAGTTTGCAGTCTTTTTACTTTTTCAGTTGTGGCAACTCAATAAGATTATTTCCTAAGGTGTAAAAGGGCTGCAGTCTCCATCTGGGGAAGGAGGTGTCCACAATGATGAAATTGCAGTGAGGGTATTTATTACATTTTGATGTATATTATAGTCATTTGTGTATGTGTTTTAATTCTCACTGGATTGTAAATTCATTGAAGGCAGGGAACCATAATTTTTTTTTTTTTGCTTAGGCAGTTGGGGTTAAGTGACTTGCCCAGGGTCACACAGCTAGTAAGTGTCAAGTGTTTGGTCTGAGGTCACATTTGAACTCAGGTCCTCCTGACTTCAGGGCCTATCCACTCTATCCACTGCGCCACCTAGCTGCCCCAGAACTATAATTTTTTCATCCATGTAATCTCAGCACCTACCACAGTGCACTGTACAAAGCAGACAATGGATTATAAATTACACTGATAACTGCGGCTGAACAAAGCTGTTCAAAAAATTCCTTTCGCCTTTACATGTAGTTGATTTTATAAAAAGAGAATATCTAGGCAGGTTTTTCTTCCCTCATAAGTACATTATAAGAAGGTTTTAAAAGTAGTCATGCCTAAAATTATATTTTAAAGAGAAAGGAAAGAAAACATTAAAGAAAGAGTAGTGACATTTCAGACAGATCTTGGAAGGGGACACAGAACAAAAGGAATTTTTGTTTTTGTTCATTTATTCTATTATCTTATATGTTATAGATTTCATGTAAGATTTTTTTCCTTGTTTTGTTTGTGCTTTTTTCAGTGATGGTTATCCATTTATAATTTTCTTAAAAGCAATAATACAAGAAAACAAGCAAACCATTTTGATAATACATTTGAAAATTTTATTTTAAAAATAATTTACACCTACAGAACGGAAGAGTATTACAGTGGTCTGTAAAAGGAAAGCATACAACCCAAAAGCTATACAATTTGAAATGGATGGGGGAAATCCAGAAGAAAGTGAAGCTTTTACTCTGAATTCTTAGGATTTCACCGGGCATCAAAAACCACCACTGTATTAAAATTGTGTTAAGGACAAAGAAAAAATGATGAAAATTTATTCTAGTCATTGCACTTTCAAATTATGTTCTGATACAACTAAATAATTATAATAATAATAATAATACATATATAGTGCTATAGACAGCTACAAAACACTTAATGATACTCAATAATTGCTTATAAATGCACAAAGATACAATATACTATATATTTGTCATGACAATCTTGGAGATGGTTTAAAAGAAAAGTCACTCAAAATGTTATTCAATCCCCTTTCCCATTTAGAGTCAAAGACATGCATGTGATATTATTAAACCCTTCTCTCACATACACAGAAGTAACAATGAAGGTAACAGCTTTGTAGTATTTTTTTTCTTTATTCCTGGCTACCAATACGACCTTTTAATAAGACTCTCAGGAGCCAGTTCAATTTGAATGGGTGAAGCAAAATATCATGTCCGTATTTATACAAAATACTTAAATTTCAACTTCTATAACTGAGCAAGTTTGCCCACTAAGTAAGTGACGATTACAAAAATACTGAAAATATCCAGCAAGTTTAACATAATGGCTTTCAGGATTATTCTAGGATATACATTTCGAGTAATTCATATTGGAACAACATAAATGCTAATTCTCCTAAAAATTATTTTTTTTTGTAAGTTAAATCATTCTTTCTGTTGGTGAATGCCCTTTAATATCAATTCAAACACTCTTTTTACCCACCTCTTACTGTCGTACTTACCCACCTCTTATCATCATACTTAGAAAGCAAAGGTGAAAGGATACATCTTTTTGTTCTTTTCTTGTACATTATTCTATATCCGCATTCCCTACATCTGATTGGATCCCTGGATTTTATTTCATTTTCTGTATGACATTCTGAAAAAGTAAACATTTTTTTACTTAAAGTCCCCTGCCACTCAGGAATATTAATATTCTCAATAATTGCTTATCTAGTTGTTATTCTAATTGCATAATCAGACTTAGACATTTTTAGAAATAAATGGAACTTAGAGATCATTTAGGCCAATACTTTCATTTTCTAGATGAAAATACTAAAGCCCAGAGAAGTTAAGTTTGTTGCCTAAACCAGTGATGTCAAACTCAAATAGAATGGGGGCCACTAAACCATATATAAGGATCCCTATGGGCTGCATCATTGACTAAGAAAACCGAATATTAATATTATCTATTGAGTTTTTATCCCAATTACATTTTAATCTGATTAGGGCAACATGGGAATATTGCTAACCACAGAGAGTCTGACAGTTCTGGCCTAAACTATCCAACAGATAAATTTAACATCTTTTACTGAATTAGAATCTAGATCTCAAGACCCCCTAATGCCATGTATTTTCCATTATTACACATTGCCCAAATAGACATATGAGCAACTCTTTACACATACTAATCAACAATAAATTCACATTTAGTGTTTTAAGGTTTATAAATTTTTTTTCCCCCTCACAATAACCCAATAAGTCTAGTATTATTAACACCATTTTAATAAGGTAAAGGATCTGCTCTGAGAAGTTGTGACTTTTAACCAGGGTCATATAACTAGTAAATTTTGAATCCAAAGATCAACTGCCCTGGGTTCAAATTATACCTCTGCTACTCACTGGGTGAACTTTCACTTAACCTCTTTGGGCCTTAGATTCCTTAGCTGTAAAAAGAAAGGGGAGAGCAAGATGACTTTTGAGGTCCCTTTTAGCTCTACGATCCATAAATTTATGAACTCAAAATGTACTGCTGAATGCTAAGCTCATGTGCTGTCTATTACTAAGTAGTTACAGATAAGTGATAGGATTTTATTCCGCAGAGTCAGATAGGTACTTTTTGCAGGGGAGAAAACTTAACTCTTCCTGCTCTAGTTTAAAGGAAAGAACACTGGTCTTAGAGTCAATGAATCCTAGTCAATGACCAATCCTAGTCAATGAATCTTATGGACCAACTGTGTTCAGGCAATATGCTAGGCTCAAAAGATTAAAAAAAAAAAATCTTGGCCCTCAAGGCACTTAACATTTTATTGAGATAAATAATATGTTCACATAACAATTTACACAGTATAAATTCAAGGTATGGGAGGCGGGGAAAGGGGAGAGTTACAGCATGTGAAAAGTGGGATTAGGGAAGGATTCAGGAGCTGAGTTTTGAAGGGAACAAGAGATTCTACGAGGTTGAGGTGAGGAGGCAATGATGCACTCTAGGCATGAGGAATGAAAAGTACAATGGAACAGAGATGAGACAGGAGTACCTGAGTGAGAAAAGGCCAGTCTGGCTGAACCTTAGGGAACAAGACGGGGAGTAACACATAAGATTAGAAGAGTAAGTTGGGGCCAGCTTGCAAAGATGTTTGATCCTAGTGGCAAATAGAGAACTCCTTCCTTTCCTCTCATTCTCTTCTGAACTTTGTACTGTCTGGCTTCCGACCCCATCATTCACCTAAAGAAGGTCTTTGCAAAGTTACTCATGATCTCCTCTTAGTTGCAAAATCTACTGGCCTTTTCTCAATCCTCATCCTTCTTAGTCTCTTTTCAATCTTTGACTCTGTCAATCATCCTCTTCTCCTTGATACTTTCTTCCTTTTAGGTTTTCAGGACATTACTGACTCCTGGTTCTCCACCTACCTACCAGACTGCTCCTTCTCCGCTTTTGCTGGATCTTCATCCAGGTCATGCCTACTAATCATGGGTGCCTCACCGGGATCTGTTCTCAGCTCTTTTCTCCCTCTATACTATTTCACCTGGTGATCTCTCGGCTCCTACGAATTCAATTATCACCTCTCAATCTACTTATGTGGCCCTAACCTGACCCCATCTCCAAATGCTTATCAGATATCCAGAACCAGACGCCTTGAAGACATTTTAAATTAAATATATACGAAACTGATTTCATTCTCTTTCCTATCAAACCGTTCTCTCTTTCTAATTTCCCTATTATAAAGTTGAGAGTACCACCACCCACTCAGGTTCATAATCTAGGTGTCATCCTTTCCTCACTCTCTCACTTCCCATAACCAATCTGTGGTCAAGGCCTGTTTTACCCTCATGACATCTCTCCTCTAACACTGTCACCACTCTGGCGCAGATCTCATTGTTTCACACCAGGACTATGGCAATAGCCTGCTGGTTGGTCTCTGTAACCCAAGTCTCTCCACACTCCAGACCATTCTCCACTCACGCATCAGTGATCTTCCTAAAGCCAACGTGTGATCATGCTATCCCCCCGTTCAATAAATTCCAGTGGTTCCCCATCACTTCCCAGGATCAAATATAAAATCCTCCGTTTGTTCAAAGACCTTCATAACCTTTTCCCTCATCTCTCCAGGCTTCTCCTATTTTACATTATCCAGCCCTTCCCCTCCCCCAATACTCTGCAATCCAATGACATTGACCTTTCTGCTGTTCCAGTCACTCGGCACTCCAGGTATTTTCATTGGCTGTCCTCCATGTCTGGAATTCTCTCCCTCATCTCCAACCCTGAAGGCCCAGCTAAAATCTCACCTCCTCCACGAAGCCTTTCCCAAACTCCTTTAATCCTAGTGCCTTTCTCTGTGGATTATCTCCAATTTATCACGTTTATATACAGTTGTTTGCATGTTATTTTCAACATCAGAAGTAAGCTCCTAGACAGCAGGGACTGTCTTTTGCATTTCTTTGTATCTCCAGTGCTTTGCACAGCCTCTGACATAGAGTTGGCACTTAACAAATGTTTACTGACTGACCCTTGGAATTCATTGAATTGGACAGTGACACAGGGCAGTCTTATGCTTTAGAAAAATGGCTATCCCAGAGACATCTTAAACTCAACATGTGTAAAACTGAACTCGTTATCTTCCCCTCACCCCCAAACCTTCTCCTCTTCCAAACTTCCGTATTCTGACACCACTATCCTTCCAGGGTCTCAGATTCATAATTTAGGCATTTTCCTTTGCTCCTCAATTTTTCCTCACCTTATACATTCAATCATCTGCCACATTTTGCAGTTTCTACCTTTACAACCTCTCTCACATACAACCCCTTCTTTCTACTCCAGTTGAGACAGTCACTCTGATTTCAGAAACGGTCTTCTAATTGGTCTTCATGATCCAAGTTTCTACATACTACAGTCCATTCTACACACTATTGACACCAAGGTGATTTTCCTTAAACACAGATCTAACTATGTGACTCCCCAACTCAACCAACTCTAGTGATTTCCTATTGGATCTAGAATAAAATGTAAACTCTTGTTTAGCTTTTAAAATCCTATACAACCTGATTCCAACATAGCTTTCCAGCCTAATTTGACTTTATCCCCCATCACAAAGTCTGCAATGCAGCCAAAGGAGGCCTTCTTTCAGTTTCTCAAACACAATACTTCATTTCCCATCTCTATCCTTTGGATAGGCCACTGGCCCCCATGCCTGGAATTCACTCCCCCCCTTACTTGTTTCTTTAAGATACAGTTGATGCACCATCTTCTACAAGCCTTTCCTGATCTCCCTCAACTACTAGTATCCTCCCCCTCCCAAACTATTTTGTATTTAACTACTTTGTGTGTATGTATTTATTAACTTTTTATTTGTACTGTATATATTTTTTACATGGAAGGAGAAGGCTGGAGCAAGCATTTATTAAGCACTAACTCTGTGATAGGAACTGTGCTAAGCATCTTACAAATACTTCATTTTATCCTTGCAACAACCCTGTGAGGTAAGTGTTATCATTATTCCCATCATACAGTTGAGGAAACAGAGTCGGACAGAGATTAAGTGACTTGCCCAGAATCACATAGCTGCTAAGTGTCTGAGGCAATATTTGAATTCAGGTCTTCCTGATTGGGGTCCAGTGCTTTATCCACTGTACCTAGATGCCTATATACACTTGTCTTCTCCATTGGCATACATGCTTATTATGGGGATTGTTTCATTCTTTGTACTCGTATGCCCAGCACCTAGAAAAGTACCTGGCACTTTGTAGGTACTAAATGAATACTTGCTGATGGAAAAATCCTAGAAAAAGCTATCTATCTCATTGTCTCAAATTGCTCTATTCTCTCCTTTCAACCCTCTGTAATCTGGCTTCCTGACTTCCTCACAACTGAAACTGTTCTCTCCAAAGATACCAATTATCTCTCAAGTGACAAATCTGATGGACTTTTACCATCCTCATCCTTCTTGATCTCTATTGCAACATCTGACACCACTGAATACCCTTCCCTCCATCAATCACCATGCATTTATTAAGTTCTACTCGTCAGGTACTACATTAACTGCTGGATCTTCCTGTAGACTATGTCTTCTTTCGGTTCTTGTGACACTGCTCTCTCCTGCTTGTCCTACCTGACAGTTCCTCTGTCTCCTTTGCTGCTTCAATGTCTACATCCTACTCCCTAAAAGTGTACCCCAAGGCCCTCTCCCCTGTCTACACTCTCTCACTTGGTGACATACACGATCAGCTCCCATGGATTCAATTGTCATCTCGATGCAGATGACTGCCAGAGCTATATATTCAGTCCTAGTCTTTCTTCTGAGCTCTAGCCTATTACCAATTAATTGCCCATTAGATATTTCCAAATGGGTTGTCCTATAGGCAGCTCAAGCTGCCAAAACAGAACTCCAACAGAAAACAGAACACCCCAAATTGAATTCATCTCCTCCCTTCCTGACCCTACCCCCATAAAAAACAAACAAAACAAAAGAGAAGATCGATCTTCCTAACTTCTCTATTTGTGTCAAGGGCATTACCCTTTCACTCAGTCAGGCTCAAAAACTCTGCATTATCCTTAATCCCCTACTCTCCCTTACCTCACATATCCCATTTGTTGACAAATCTTGTTTCTACCTCCACAAGTCTAACATCGTGTGGTCTCCACCCTCATTCAGACCCTTATCAGCTCTTGCCTGGGTTATTGGAATACCTTCATATTTGGCCTTGTCTCCTGTTTCCTACTCCATCCTCTACAGAGTTCCCAAGAAGTTGCAGTATCCTCAGGTGCTATTACAGACAGGGGACATACTTTTTACTCTAAGAGCAAGTTAGGTACTTTTAACCACCCCTACTTTGTTGAAGCTGAAAGAACAAGGTTTTGGAGTCAGAAGACTTAGAGTCAAATCCCAGCACTGTCACATACTATGAGACCTTGGACTCTTGTCTTACCTCATATCTGGAAGCCTCAGGTTCCTTATTTATAAAATAGTATTTGTTGAAAAGTACTCTGTAAAACTTAAAGCTCTATTATTAATTGCATTCTTTTATGCCTTATGTGCAAAGTTATGTTATTTACTAAGATACTAGTTACATGCAAAGATACTATAATTCTAAAATACCTAAGTTAATTATGCAATTTATGGTTTATTTTGTTCCCATGATTCTTCCTGCTACCATATTTTTCTGCCTTCAAAACAACGTAGCTAAGCTGCGTGGGAACAGAGAGAACAAACACAAGAAAATTATTTTTTGTTAGTTGGCGCAGTGGATAGAGTGCTGGGCCTGGAGTCAGGAAGATCTGAATTCAGATCCACCTTCAGACACTCACTGGCAGTGCTGACCCTGGGCAAATCACTTCACCTGTTTGTCTCAGTTTCCTCATCCATAAAGCAGAGATAATAACTGTACCTACCTGTCAGGGGTGTAGTGAGGATCAAATGTGGTAACAGAAGTAAAGCATTTAGCACAGTGCCTGACATATAGTAGGCCCTAAATATATGTTTTGGTGTTGTTATTACTGTTGTTGTTATGTGCCTTCCGAGTACCAGGCAGTCACTGTGATAAGCACTGAGGACACAAATATAAAAAAAGAAAGACATTGCCTGGCACACAGTAAGTACTACGTAAATGTCAGCTATTATTAGTAGTTGTTGACAGATCCGTAAGAAATTTAGTTTAAGAAAAAAAGTTAAAACTAGTGGTTAACAGGAAAGCTATGGCTTATAGACAATCTATCTGTAAAGGCTGTATTCTGAAAGAATAATCTGTCCATCATAATTTACTTTAAACAACGAGGAAGGAGAATGTGTTTTCGAAACACTTAAACAGGGTATTATTTTTCAAAAGCGACTCTCACCTCCACAGATATATATCATTGGCTGCTGTTTAGGCGGCTGCACGTCCTTCTGGGTGTCCATCGTCAGTCCCTAAAAATCACAGGCGGGAATATTTTCTCAAATCAAAGAGGTCCCCATCCCCCCTCACCCCCAAACTACGTGGGTCGCGGACGTGGGAGTCCTGATCCGACATCTGCAAGGATGGTTCAGGTCCACAGAAGGCGGTTTCCCCCAATCCCGCCTCCTTGCCCGGGCAGACACGGCCGAGGGCAGCGACCCAGCCTGAGCACACAAGAGCGACAACCCGGGGGTCGGCCAACATGGCCTGGTGGGAAAAAGGGCGTCCTCGTGAATGACCGACCCCAGCAACCCCCTCCCCCTTTCAAGCCCCGCCGTCCCCACCTCTCAACTGTTTCTAAAATCGAGCTGAAACGCTAACTCAACCTGCAGGAAGCCTGCGTACCTCTCACGCCGCAGCCCGGTGCGTCGCTGCTCCTCGAATAACAGCGCGAGACCTACTTCCGGCGCTTCATAATGACACCATCAACAGCCCCGCCCCTTCTGCCTTGTGCGTGGACGGAGGAACTGATTGGCTGAAATCAAAAGAAGGGCTGGAAAGGGAGTGGGAGAGATAGAGGTCGAGCTGTTGGTGAGAGATATCCAGCTTTTGAGGGGCGGAGTTGGAGGCGGCTGGGTTGTTCTTTCCCTCTATATTCCTTCCTTTGCAGACCAAATTGAGGATAACGAACAGGTCTCAAACCCATTGATGAGTTAGGAGGATGTCTACCCCAAGCAGGTGAAGACTTCCACGGTAGAATGGACAGATAACAACTGCCCATTTGTTGGGAACGCCATGAAGGTGGCTGAAGCAGGTGGAGCACTTAGATCTTGGTCAGGCATGAAAGCAGGTCATCCACTGTCCGGGAACATCAGCGGTCTTCTTGACTTTTGTCTTACTACTAGATTTTGATGACTCAGGAAGATAAAGTGAAGCTGACCAGTTGTGCAACTTTGCCTTACTTAAATCCAATTCACATGCAAGTCTCCTGATATCATTGATCCTCTGGAAATGAAGGAAGAACAACAAGTATCTGAGACAGTATTTGCATTCAAGTCATGTTGACTCCAAGTCTAGTACTCTCATCCTAGGACAAGCAACATAATTCATCATATTAAAAACAGACCACTTGGCAGATTTAACTAATCAACAGACATTTATTAAAGCACCTATACAGAGAGGAAAGATGGCTTGGAATGACTTCTGTGGGCAATGGATTAAGCACCACTTAGAGAGGTGTTGAAATTAAATAATGTAATTATTTGTAGTAGACCCAAACAGTTCTGTTGTGTGACCTCTTTCAGCTTTGTTAGAAGGGCATGAGTTGAAACGAAACAGACCAGTGGTGGAAGATGGTATAGAGTAAAACTGGTTAATTATAGGGTTCAGATTGGGAATGGAGGAAAATAAAGTTAGAGCAGAGGAGATGACTTTGGAGACCACAGAGGGATGGAAGGTGTAAAGAGAGATGGAATGATAGGAGTTTATGATCTGATAAAGGGATTTTGGAGGTTAAAAAGTTACAGAAGTAGAACACTTGAAGATGATGGCAAGATCAAGGGTGTGATCAATCCTCAGTACAGCTGAGGTAGAGGGGAAGAGTAGGTCATGGAAACTGAGGGGATTGAGGAATTGGGAGTTTAGGATGTTTGAGAGAATAGCATGTGTATGTAGCATAAGGGCAGGAGTTGAGGAAGATAGAAATACTATGACAATGGCTAACTAATAGTAGCATCCAGATTGGGTAATTAATTTGAATGGAGTGAACCTAAGAGGAGGAGAGGTTTCTGAAAGGAGACAAAGGGAATGGATGAAAGTGGCAATGAGGAGCAAGGAATATTCCTTGGAAAATCCCTTCTAGGACTAATATATATGGTGAATGAGAGAAAGGACGGAATGAAACATGTTGTTTGTCCTTTGTGTTTTTTTTTCCTCAAGAAGACCAATAATATCATAGGGTGATGTCTTGACTTGAGGTTGAATTGGTTGTAAGTCAGGTACAGGCAGCCTCACTCTCTCTTCCAGATTCATCAAAGTCCAATGGCATGACAAAAGTCTGGATGACTGGTGATGGCCCAGGATGCAGTGGATGACCTTGACATCTTCCGTGCCTGATCAAACTCTAAGTACTCCACAAGTGCGTGCTTAAGTCACCTTCATGGCTGTTGGAACAAATTGTTCCCATCCACCCATTCTGTCAGGGAAGTCTTCACATACTTGGGGTTGACACCCCCCTAACTCACCAATGGATTTGAGGCCTGTTGGTTACCCTCACCCAAGATGGTTTTGCTGAGGTGTGGATAGCAGGCATGCTTCAGCTTCTTGGAGCCACAAATGTGAGTTGAGTGCCAGGCAGATGACCAAAGGTGGATAAACAGCCCTGAAAAGGTGGGGTAGGATAAAAGTGCATGAGGATGAGAGCATGTGAAGGGAGGGACAGGGAAAGTTGTGAGTTATACTTAGGCAGCCAAGAAAAGGTAGGGTGTTTGTTAGTAAAAAGGATTCATTCTGGGCATAGGGCACTGGCAATAGTATTTGAGGTAGGTGATGTTTTTCTCTGCCTTGATTCCTAGGCTCCTCTTTGAGGTGTGGGGGTGGGAGAGAGGAGGAGGAAGACTAAGCAGCTTGGTTTTACTAGTTTTGGGAGGTGGGAGGTAGGGAGAAGAACTCCAAGCAGCCTATTCCTGCTATGCCCTCAATCTAAATCAATACTGCTCTTATTAAACTTCCTTGTCTGACTGATAGGGTCTTAATTCAGAACTTGATAAATTTGAAAAAAGACCTACCCTGAACTTTCAAACATGTTCTGGTGCTCAGGAAGCATCTGTTTTTATTTCAGAAGATTCATAAAATACTTTCCCCCTAGATAGGTATTATTGAGGACTGTGATAGAGCCAATTTTTTAAGCACCTATCATGTGCCAGTGGCTGTGCTAAGCTCTAGGGTTACAAAGAAACGACAAATCAAGAGCTCACAATTTAGTGAAGGAGATAACATGAAAACAACTATATACAAACAAAATATAGAGAGGTTATATTGGAGATAATTTTAGAGGCAAGGTGCTAAGATTAAGGAGAACTTGGAAAAGCTTTTTTTTTTTTGGCAGAAGATGGGACTTCAACTGAGACTTGAAGCTAGGGGGTGGAGATAAGGAGGGAGAAAGTTCCAGGCATGGGGGAGCCATGTGAAAATTCCCAGAGTCAAGGGATGGGGTGTCATATGCCTAGAACTGCCAGGAGGCTAGTGTCACTGGATCTCAGAGTACTCAGAGGGGGATGAGGTATAAAAAGACTGGAAAGGTAGGAAGGGGCCAGGTTAAGAAGTGCTTTAAACGCCAAACAAAGGATTTTGTATTTGATCCTGGAGGTACTAGGGAGTAGGTTCAGAAAGATGAACTTGACATCTGAATGCAGGATAGACTAAAGTGCAGAAAGACTTGATACAGGGACAGCAACCAGCAGACTATTGCTGTAGTCCAGGCATGAGTTGATGAGAGCCTGCACCAGGGTGGTGGGAGTGTCAGGAGAAAAGGTGGATATGAGAGATGCTGCAAAGAGATGTAGGAGAGATCTAAAAATAATAGAACTTAACAACTGATTGGCTATGAGAGGTGAGAGAGAATGAAGAGACCTGGGTTAGGAGACTTGGGTGACTGGGAGGATGGTAGTGCCTTCAACAGTAATAGAGAAGCCCTTTTCAGGGCTGCTCATCCACTTTTGGCATTTGCCTGGCATTCAGCTCACACCTGTGGCTCTAAGAAGCAGAAGCACGCCCACTGACCACACCTCAGCAAAACCATCTTGGTTGAGGGTAACCAACAGGCCTCAAATCCATTGGTGAGTTAGGGGGGTGTCAACCCCAAGTATGTGAAGATTTCCCCTGGAAGAATGGGTGGATGGGAACAATTTGTTCCAACAGCCATGAAGATGGCTGAAGCAGGCACTCGTGGACTACTTAGAGCTTGATCAGGCATGGAAGATGTCAAGGTCATCCACTGAATCCTGGGCCATCACCAGTCATCCTGACTTTTGTCTTGTCATTGGACTTTGATGAATCTGGAAGAGAGAGTGAGGCTGCCTGTGCCTCACTCAAATTCAATTCAAGCTCAAGTCATGACATCACCCTGTGATGTCATTGGTTCTCTTTGGAAAAGAAAGCCAAAAAACAACAATAGAGAAATTAGGAGTAGGGACTAGGTTAGATGTTTTGTTTTGTTTTGGTTGTTGTTGTTGGTTTTGTTTTTTTTTTTGGTTGGGGAGAGGGGCAGAGATAATGAGTTCAGTTTTAGAGAAGTTTAAGAAGTCTACAGAATATCCAGTTCAAGATGTCAAATAGGCATTTGGAGAAGAGACCAGGAGACAGGTTAGGGCTGGACAGATAAATCTGAGAATCATCTCCATAGAGATAATAATTGAATCTAAGAGAACTGATGAGATTACCAAGTGAAATAGTTTAGAGGTAAAAGAAGGCTTAGGACAGAGCCTTGGGGGAGACCCCACAGTTAGTGGTCATGATCTGGATGAAGATACAACAAAGGAGACTGAAGAGAGGTCCATCAGTTAGAATGAAAACCCCCGAGAGAATAGGGCCAGAGTTAAAAATTAAAGAGGCTATAGCAAAAGGGTAGGAGATGCCTCACATACCCCTAATAGGAAGAAAAAACCCCACCACCACAGGACCCAGAGATTAAAGGGGATCTTAGTTTTAGATCTGGAAATGACCTAAGAAAGCATTTGGATTAACTCCACCCTTTATGACCAGAGGATGAAAGAATAGGATGTAGAAAGGCTCTTTAAGGTCATCTAGTACAAATCCCTCATTTTATAGTTGAGGAAGCTTAAGCTGAGACATATGAAGTAATTTGGTCGAACTTGAACGGAGGATAGTATCAAAGCCAGGTTTTGAAGCCAAACTCTGACTCCAAATCCAGAACTCCTTCCACTGAACCCTGACTTGCTCTAAGTCTTAGGAGTCCTAATAATTGGCAGAATTAGGACTTGAATCCAGAACTTCTGACTCCAAATTGGGGTCCTTTCCATGATCTATTGCTGTCTCACCTATAAGGCTGCAAATGCTTACTGAGTACCTTTAGTGTGCAAGGAACTGGGTTAGGTATTAGGCATATGAGACATTAAATTCCATTTGGGGAGACATCACACACACACAGAGATTTAAATACAAGGTACCAGGTGGTGAGTACCAAAGGAATGAATAGACAAAACATGCTATGGGAGATTCCATGTAAGAAAAAGTAGAAAAGGAAGGCACCGTGTGGGGTGAAGGTATAACAATGAGGGTGGGGAACAGTAGGGATGCATACATTAAAAGCAGATATTTGGTGAAAATAAATGCACACAATTATCTTCCTAAACATGTTCTTTAAACGAAGATGTGGAAAGCTGGAAGAGGAATAAGAAGCTCTTCCAAATTAGCTTGTTCCTCCTAGCTTCTTGATCTGTGG